GGTAGTTCGGACTAGGAAGCCTAGTCCGAACTACCTAGTCCGTGCCGCATGTAGCCGCGCGGCACGGGGTTCGAACGAGCCGGGATTTAAAAATGGCGGCGCCCGGCTTATACAAATGAAGCCCGGGAAATTCAAATCCCGGGCTTCATTTGCAAGTGCGGTATGCCTACATTACCCTCCTAGTTCGAACTAGGAGGGTAGTGTAGACATACCCATAGCCAAATTAGCCCCCATCATACTATATGTATAGTTTTTTTTTCCTACATGCATTACTTTACACTTACCCACATTAAACTTCATTTGCCATTTTGTTGCCCAATCACTTAGTTTTGTGAGATGCCCTTCCCTACTGATGGCTGTTTCTCCTGGCCCTAGTGCCCCTGGACTTCGGCTCTGGCCCTGGCCCCACTACCACTGGACTTCAGCACCAGCTCCACTGCCGCTGCCTCAGTGGGGCTTCTTGGGGCCAGAATTTCCCAGCTGCCACCTGCCCTGATTCTACTGGGGATAGAAGTCCCTGCCTGCCAAGATCAGAGCTCCCCAGCCACTGGTAGCCTTGCTGCTATTGAGACCAGAGCTCCCCATCTCCTGCTGGCCCTGCTACTGCCAGGGCCGGAGCTCTACACTGGGACATCTTCCCCCATCACAGGGCTCCCATCCAAGTTGCTGGCCCAGCCCTGCCACCAGACCTCCCTGTTCCTAGGTTCTGTGGTTCAACAACATCCATAGTCCTGCCAAACCACAAATGCTGCTGGACCAGAGCCCAGGTTTAGCACAGCCTGTATTCATTTTGTACATGTTAAAATGTTAAGCAATTAACATTAATAAATTAAGTATTTAATGCATGCATGCACACCTTGAAGTGGGTGAATCGTCCAGTTTCATTAGAGATTTGAAAGTTATCCCTTCCAGTTGCTGTTTATAACGTATGAACTGCAGCACCAAAAGTGTAGCAATCAGTTGTAATACTTCTCTTCCTTTAGGACCTAAAAAGGAGAGAAATAGGCATAATTCATAGTAGAATTGTTACTTGTCAAAAAAGAAAGTTAATATTCAATATTTTGTAGTACTTGCTGGCAAAGTGATAGTCATGCACACAAAAATTAGTTATCCTAATGCTGTTTAATTCTGTTTCATCACCCAATGCATGCATGAATCCATGGTTTTTTAAAACTAGTTTCACAGACATATGGTTCACTCCTGAACTGAAGTCAGAACTCAAAGGGCTGGCAGTGTGCTGCTGAACTTGTGCAGTTTGGGCGGGGGGAGGCGGTTCTTCCATCATGTCTCACTTGGTTCTTTTTGCAAGCTCCAAAGGGAATTCTAATTTCTGATGGAGCACTGGAGCAGCAGTCTGGTAAGACTGTGATTAAAGTGCGCACTGCAGCCAAATATTTATTTTTGATCAGTTTGCATCCCCTCCCCGCACCTTTTAAGCACTATCCCCTAGTATTCATGTTCATTTTATGCCTGCCAGCAGCACAGAGCAGCAGCTGAAAAGGAAGAAGGAAATTTGTACACAAAAGATGTAACCAGCATAATGGGAAGGGGTGGGGAAAAGCAGCACATCAGTATAATTTGGAATGTATGTGTGGGATGGAAGATGACACAGAATGCATGTTTATTTATTACTTGTATTACTGTAGTCCCAGGAGCCCCAGCCATGGACCAGGATCCCATTGTGCTAAACCAGGGGTGGGCAAAAGAGCCTCTGCAGGCCACATCCGGCCCTCCAAGAGAGTTGATCCGGCCCACGGAAGCCCTGCTGCTCCCCTACTCTCAGGCCAATTAGGGACTGGGGGAGGGGGAGCACATGAAGCTTCCTCCTTCTCTGTGAGCAACACACAGCGCTTCAAAGTGCCGCGCACTGCTCACAGGGCAGGAGGAGACGTCCACGCTCCCCCACCCCGAAGTCCTGATTGGCCTGGGGGTAGGGGAGCTGTGTGAAGTTTCCTTGACCCTCCACCCCGCTCTGCAAGGAGCACATGGCACTTCAAAGTGCCCTATGCTTGCACAGGGCAGGAGCAGGGCAAGGGAAGCTTTGCACAGCTTCCCTGCCCCCAGGCCAATCAGGACTTGGGGATGGGGTAGTATGTGACTTCTCCTCCCGCCCTGCAAACTGCACATGGCACTTTGAAGTGCTATGTGCTCCTTGCACGGTGGGGGTAGGATGGGAGGAGGCTTTGCATGCTCCCCCACCACCTGGCCAATCAGTGCCTGGGGGCGGGGGAGTGTATGAAGCCTCTTCCCACCCTGCCAGGGGCATAGGTGCCTAGTGGGAAGGGGGGGGCAAAGGGGGTCCTTCACCCCCAGACCAATTATGATCTGGGGGTGAGGAAGCCAGGAAGCATTCTGGCCCCACCCCTTCTGGATTATGCCCCACCCTTTCCAGGGTGGCCCAGGACCACTTCAAAAATTTTTGAAGTGGCTCCTGGCCAAAAATTATTGCCCACCCCTGTGCTAAACACTCTACAGATAGAACACAAAAGACAATCCCTGTCTCAAAGAGCTTACAATCTAATAGACAACACAAACAATGATGTGGAGCAAAGGATACATGAACAAACAGAGTGAACAATATGACGGCAGAAAGTGTCAAGCTAGTTCTATTTTCTGCAGGGAAGAGAAAGGGGGAGGTCAGCTAAATGGAAAGAAACACTAAGAGAAGAGGATGAGGGAGATAGGACAGGGAAGAAGAGGGTAAGAGGGGCAACAAGTTTGAAGTAAAACTAAGCTGAAGAGACTGTGACTTAATCAGCCGTTCAGCACAGGTGAGAGAAAAATCTAGTCAAATCTACAGAAAGTTCTACAAGGAACAAAGGTCCCTGCTTTGTATGCTTCTGTCAGTAATAGCTGCAGACCCTGGCTTGCTCCTCTGCTGCTTACTTCCAAGCCCACATATTGGAGAGTGCTGATGGAGGGGAGACATTACCCAGGTCCTACTGCCTCCCGAACACAGGGGAGTCTCCCCTGCATAGTTCTGGGTCCAACAAGATGCCAATGGGAGGGATGGACTCAGTCAGGCACCATTTTACCCTCTTTCCCCTTATGAGGATGCAAAGTGGGAACATTTGAGTCTGATTAACTATTTCAGAATTGCTTCATCTGGCTTGTGTAATAATTGGGACAAAAAGAACCTCCACTGCTGCTCAAAATATGGAGTCTTCATAGGAGAGGCACACAGCAGCCTGAACAGACTGTTGAAAGGGCACTTTAGCAGAAACTTGAATTTTTAAACATTAGTTACTTCAGAAAATGTCAAATTGAGAGTGTCTATTTAACATCTGGGATGAGCCAATCTTAAACCATTGTTAGTAATATGGAAAATATACATTAATATAACTTCACATATATGGTTACTACATTTGGAAAAAAACCTGAACTATAGTCTAGTCACTTTTAACGAATGAGAAAACAACCGATTTACCTAGGGACCAAATGCCTTTTTTTGGAAGGAAATTATTGATTAAATAATCCACATCAAGATCCAAAAGAACCCCAAGTTCTGGGCTGAGATTCCAAAAGCCATCCTGTGAAATAAACCAAAAAAAAACACTGTAATGGTCTTCCTAAAACATTCCAGACATTGCAAATATTTCATTAGAAATAGAAAAGTACAGCGAGGAAAGTAATTACAGTAAAATGTTCAAAGGACTTATCCAAAAAATATAATCAACTGTGTGAATTGTAGTGTTGTTATTGTAGTGAATTAGTCAGTGATCCTCAGACTTTAAGATCTAAAATTCAAATGCATGATGTATTGACATCATAATTTTAGTCAATGTTACTAAAGTGGATTCTTTTTGGAAGCCCATAATTTACCCAATCCACATACCACTTGGCCACAGTTTGCATACTCCCAGTGACATCTGTACCACAGTTCGAGAATCTCTGGAATAAATTCCAGAGAATCTCTGGAATAAATTATTTGACCACTCCTACAGCAATGGAGTACTAAAGAAGCCAATAAGATGAATGCAATTCAAATCTTTAGCTTCTTTCCATTATTTATCCCAGCAACAGTAATGTACGTTATTTGCAATTATATGTGTGGGTTAGAATAATGAATGAGGATCTCTGACTGGGAAGTGAACCTGTTGTGGGATGGCGAGGTTGAGGCAGGGGAGCAGAAAGCACAAGATGGGGGAACACTGTGTTTCAGAGGGAAGTAGGGCAGCAGCGGCAGCACCAGCAGCAAGCTCTTTGTGTACAGATAGGTAGATACAAACTGAACAAAAGAGAAAATATTAAACTGTAAAAAGTTTTAAAATGAATACTTTGAAAATCACCCTAAAAATAATGCTCAAAATTGAATACTTCCCCATCTGAACTCAGCAGAAAAGGATTCACTCCCAGGGAGAAAATGATAGCCTTGGTGAAATTAGTAAATTTGCTGTCTGATTGTGAAATACAATGCTAAATTTATTAAATCTCATTCTGTTTTATCTGGCACAAGACTGGATAATTCCAATAAGTAGGAAAGAGACACATACGAGACAAATTGCAACTCTGAAAACAAGCCAAACACAAAGCTTTGTACTTTCACATTCAAATCAAAATGTGTCCCAGTTGGTAAGTATAATGATCATAAAATAAAATCTGATAAAGAATATGTTCCATTATTTTGAAAATAGTGATTCTCCAATGTTAAATGTTCTATAGGCAAAATGTTTAACCTGGCCTGAACTGAAACTGCATTTTTGTTCTTTCAACTCTATAAGAACAAAAAACTGGAAGTGAAATTTTGTGCCCATAGTTACTTGTGGAAACAATTAAGGTAATTCAGATGAATAAATATCTGATTTAAAGACATAATAAGATAAACACAGAGTAACATTAATAGGGAGGCAAGGTATTAGATTAGCTATCACATTAAATTACATTGTGCTAAACCTTTTTTCTTTAATGAAAACTCAGGTTTAGCAATCCTAAAACAATTTTTATATATAGTATAGTGTTGCAAGAATTTAGAGTGAGTGAGTGTTGCAGCTCTCTCTAAATATAATATTGAAACTCATTGGATTTGATCCCAAAGTGAAGTACAACTGCAAAAGATAATACTGGTGAAGGCTGTTATAACACACAGAGAAGCTAGCAAACAGGAGCAGCAAATGAGAATTTTATGAGGGAGTTTAGAAAAGGAGTGTAAAAGCCAGATACACCTAATAAATGTTCTCTGAGTGTAGGCCAATCAACACTGCTCCCCTCTCTCTGCTTCAAAAAGTCCTACAAGTGTAAAAACAATTCAGCCAGAAGTCCAGCATCAACGTGTGGGCTATGCAGTTTACTGTACTGAATGTAGCATGTATAATTACCTGCCTTGTGAGCAGGTGGCATTTATGTGCATTCAGTGCAAGTAGTTCATGGCCCTCAGTGATCAAGTACAGTCTCTCAAGACTAGAGTGGGATTAAAAGGATGAGCTAAGAAAGTCAGAGAGGCATTTAGAGGAGATTTTCCAGGGCACAGAAGAGCAGTTCCTCTCCCCATCTGACAGCCTCTATGCTGTTGAGGAGGATGAAAATCTTGAGGAAGGAGAACATTAAACCAAAGTGGAGGGAAATGATCCCATAGTTGGAATCCTCCTTTCAGATGATGTCATGTTATCCTCTTGCACTGAGGATAGTCCTCCAGGAGAGGAGACTTCAGTTATTAGGAAGAGACAGTGTGACAGAATGTATCTTTCTGTCTACAAAATTGTAATAATTTTTGTACAAAGCATGTCTTAAAAGGTATAATTTAAAAATTTATAATTTGCTAGTCAATACTGTCCTAGTAAAATATGCGTGGCAACATTATATGTAAAGCTATAAGAGTTCCTTGTATGATGTTATTAACAGATGTTCCAAACCACAGGCCTACTCAAGCAGAAGCTGGCACACAGGTATCTCTCAAACAAAGGAATGTGAGCTGTTCTTTATTGAATTTAAGCAGCAAACAGAGTCATGAAGCAGGAAGGGAAGCAAAAAAGCTCAAACCTGTGAGGAAAAAGAAGCAGGAAACTTCCTTCCCCATAGAAGTTTTGTTTCTTGATACCAGTTGGAAATGTTTTTTAAGAGGGGAACAGATACTATAAAAAGGGGGGATATGCAGCCCACAACTCCCCTCTCCCAGCCCTTCAGACTAATAGCACATGAAGGAACAAAGGAAGCATTCATTGGACTCTGGTAGAAGTGGTCCTGACCTAAGAATTCTGGTTAGTAAGACTGCTGAAAGCATATTGTGAGAAAACTTGCCTTTGTATTTAACATAATTAAAATAGGTACCAGTTGGGTTTTATCTCTATTTTTCTTGTATTTCTGACTCTTATGTCTCATTACTTGTACTGGCTTAAAATCTCCTTGCAATTAATAAACTTGGTTTATTTTGCTTTATCTAATCCATTGTGTTTGAATTGAAATATCTGATTTAAAGACATAATAAGATAAACACAAAGTAACATTAATACGGAGGCAAGGTGTTAGATAAGCTATCACATTAAATTACATCGTGCTAAACTTTTTTTCTTTAATGAAAACTCAGGTTTAGCAATCCTGCAGCAAATTATATATATAGTATAGTGTTGCAAGAATTTAGAGAGAGTGAGTATTGCAGCTCAAGCTAAATATAATATTGAAACTCATTGGATTTGATCCCAAAGTGAAGTACAACTGCAAAAGATAATACTGGTGAAGGCTGTTATAACACACAGAGAAGCTAGCAAACAGGAGCAGCAAATGAGAATTTTATGAGGGAGTTTAGAAAAGGAGTGTAAAAGCCAGATACACCTAATAAATGTTCTCTGAGTGTAGGCCAATCAACAGTTTTCTTGCGCAAGAGAGCGTCTACACTGGCACGGATGCTTTTGCGCAAAAGCAAATCTTTTGCGCAAAGGCACATGCCGGTATAGACGCTCTCTTGCGCAAATACTTTTAATGGAAAAACTTTTCCGTTAAAAGTATTTGTGCAAAATTATGCCAGTCTAGATGCAGCTATTAGAAATATTAATAGTTGGGTTTGTGATGACTGGGAGAACTTCATGGTGACTTGCCTGCCAGGTGCAAAGTGTGTGGATCTCTCAAGACATCAAAACAGACTTATGTGCTGTGCTGAGGATGAGATGGTGGTTGTGGTACAAGTAAGTACCAATGACACAAGCAAAGTTAAGTGAGAAATCTTGGAGGCCAAGTTTAGGCTACTAGGTAAGAGCTTGATGGTAGCATTCTCTGAAATGCTTCCAGTTCTATGTACAGACCCAGTTAGGCAGAATTGCTGGGTCTCAATGCATGGATGAAATTCTGGTGTTTGGAGGAGGGCTTTGGGAAAGGTGAACCTTATACAGGAAAAACGGTTCCATCTAAACCAATAAGGAACCAGTTTGCTGGCATGTAAAAATAAAAAGGGGGGAGGAGTTTTAAAATTAAGGGCTAAGAGAAAAGCAACAGGTGCAAAGGAGCACATGCTAATACCAGGGTATAAATTATATAGGAATGACACAATAGGTCAGGACCAAAAAATGTCACCCTGGCAAAAAACAGAGGCAGTTTAGAAGCAAAAAGATATCCCTTTAAAATCGGAAATAAAATTCTACTGAGGAAACCAAAAAGGAACAGAAACTCTGACAAGTCCACTGTAAAAACATAATTAGGCAGGCCATAAATTAATTTAAAGAGCAATTACCAAAAGACAAGCATTAACCGCAAGATTTTTGTAAGTACATTACAAGTACATCGTTTTTCACTGCAGGAAGGAGATTCTCACACCTAAGCAATTCTCTTATGGTGACAAATCTGACAAAACTGTCCCAGACTGAGGTGCTGATAGAGGGGGTTTGGAACAAATTGCTAAATTAAACAGTAATAAGTAGTGATGTCAAATTATTTTAAAATAGTTGCAGTTAACCATGAGATTAAAAAAAAATTGTGGTTAATTGCAATTTTAATTACACTGCTAAACAATAATAGAATACATTTTAAATTTATTATAAATATTTTGAATGTTTTCTACATTTTCTAATATATTGATTTCAATCACAACAAAGTCTACAAAGTGTACAGTGCTCACTTTACATTATCATCATTACAAATTTTTACACTGTAAAAATAAACCAAAGAAATGGTATTTTTAAATGTATCTACTATAAGTACTATAGTGCAATCCCTTTATCATGAACCTGAAACTTTTAAATTTAGATTTATTAACATAATTGCACTCCAAAACAAAACAATGTAAAACGTTTAGAATCTATAGATCAAAGCATGAGGTTCATACAAATGTTTGGTGTAGCTGACATGTAAATACCTTACACCACCAGCTACAACAGTGTTATGCAAATATCTGTTCTCACATTCAGGTGACATTGTAAATAAGAACCATTATCTCCTGTAAATGTAAACAAAATTGTTTGTCTTAACAATTGGTGGAACAAGAAGTAGAACGGAGTGGACTTGAACATTCTAAAGTTTTATATTGTTGTTTTTAAGCACAGTTATGTTACAAAAATAACTCCACATTTGTAAATTTTACTTGCAAAATAAAGAAATTGCACTATAGAATTTGTGTGTGGTGGATTAAAAATACTATTTCTTTGGTTTATCTTTTTCACAGTGCAAATATTTGTAATAAAAATAATATACAGTGAGCACTGTAAATGTTGTATTCTGTGTTGTGATTGAAATCAATATTTGAAAATGTAGAAAACATCCACAGATATTTATAATAAATTGCAATTGGTATTCTATTATTAACAGTGTGATTAAAACTGATTAATCACAATTTTAAATAATGTGGTTAACTTGTTTTATGTTAATCACTTATGTTAATTGTGGTTAATTGACAGCTCTAGTGATAAGTTCCAGGACCAAACTGTGTTCATCCAAGAGTTCTTAAGGAACGAAAAAAATGACATTGCAAAACTACTAACTGTGGTGTATAAATTATCACCTAAAAGCAGACACTGTACCAGATGATTAGAGGATAGCTATGTAATGCCTTTTTAAAAAAAAGGCTCCATAGGCTGTCTTGGCAATTGCAGGCCAATTGCAGGACTAATTCAGTACCAGGCAATCTGGCTGAAATTATAGTAAAGAACAGAATTACAGACCCACAGATGAACACAATTTGTTGGGGAAGAGTCAGCTTAGCTCAGGGGTGGGCAATAATTTTAGATAGGGGGACACTTCACAAATTTTTGAAGTGGCCCCAGGCCGCCCCAGAAGGGGCGGGGCCTCTGGTGGAAGGGATGAAGGTCAGGATACTTCTGTGCTCCCCATCACAGACCCTGATTGGCCTAGGAGTGGGGAAGTATTTTCAGGCAGAATGGCTCTTGCACAAGAGGGGCATTTTGCACAAAAAGGAACTGTATAGACGGCTCCTTTTTGCCCAAAAGCCCCTTGCACAAAATGGCGGCTCATTAAGTATGCAAATGAGGTGCAGCGATATTCACCACTTTGCCTCATTTGCATATTTTCTTGTGCAAAAGGGGTCAGTCTAGACGTAGCCTGTGGGAAGGAGGTGAGCAGCCTTCAGTGGTGAAAGAAGACATTAAGGTCTATTGAGAAAAGCTGGACAAGCACGAATCCAAGGGGCCTTGATCTAAAGCATCCAAGGGTGCTGAGAGAGTTGGTTTATGTTATTGCAGAGTCCTTGGCCATTATCCTTGAAAACTCATGGTGATTGGGAGAAGTCCCAGATGATTGGCGCAAGGCAAATATAGTGCCCATCTTTAAAAAAGGAAAGAAGGAGTTGGTCCTGGGACCAGTTTTGTTCAACATCTTCATTAATGATCTGAATAATGGGATGGATTACATGTTGAGCAAGTTTGTGGAAGACACTAGGCAGGGATCAGGTCCATAGTGACCTAAACAAACTGGAAGATTGGGCCAAAAGAAATCTGATGAGGTTCAACAAAGACAAGTGCAGAATCCCGAATTTAGGATGAAAGAATCCCATGGATCGCTGCAGGCTGGGACTAACTAGATAAGGGGCAGTTCTTCAGAAAAGGTCTTGGGAACTATAATAGATGAGAAGCTATATATGAGGCAATAGTGTGCCTTTATTGCAAAAAAGGCTAATGGCATATTGGGCTGCACTGTAGGACCTTTGTCAGCAGGCTGAGGGAAGTGATTATTCCTCCATTTGGCACTGGTGAGGCAACATCTAGAGTACTGAGTCCAGTTTTAGGTCCCCCACTACAGAAAGGATATGGACAAACTGGAGAATCCAGTGGAGGACAACAAAAATGATTAGGAGCTGGAGCACATGACTTATGAGGAGAGGCTGAGGGAAATGGGCTTAGTCTGCAGAAGAGAAGAGTGTGTGTGTGTGTGTGTGTATGTGGGGCGGCGGGGGGAGGGGGGGAGATTTCATAGCAGCCTTCAATTGCCTGAAGGGGGTTCCAAAGAGGATGGAGAGAGGCTGTTCTCAGTGGTGTCAGATGACAGAAAGAGAAGCAATGGTCTCAAGTTGCAGTGGGGAAGGTCTAGGTTGGATATTAGGAAAAAGTGTTTCACTAACAGGGTGGTAGAGCACTGGAATGGGTTCCCTAGAGAGGTAATCTCCATCATTAGAGGTTTTTAATGCCAGGCTTGACAAAACCCTGTCTTGGATGACTTAGGGTTGGTCCTGTTTTGAGCAGGTGGTTGGACTAGATGACCTCCTGAGGTCTCATCCAACCCTAATCTTATATGAGTCTATGACAAGTATGCTGTTTGTAATAAAAACAATTTTTTTAAAAGTTATTCTTTATAACTTGCTTTTAAGTAAAGCAATATAGAAAGAAATTCACTGTACCTGATTTTGGAGCTCAAAAATCATCGTCCAGGTTACAGCACTTGGTGGACTTTGTTGAATCTTCATCTGAGGTACTATTTTACTAAGCTGTTTTTTTTTTGCATGCTCTTATGCCAAGATCCTTTACAAAATAGAAATATTCACTAAGAACCCAATTCTGCCATATTCATATTAAATAGTATTTAATCACACAAGTAATTCCATTGAAATATATGGGACTACTATTGAAGTAAAGTATAATTAATCAATATGAATAAGGGGTGGGGCAGAAGCAAGATATAAGTTTATATAACTCCATTAAAAGTTAAATTAAATCTCCAAAATATCACTATAAAAGAAGAATTTACCTCTTTTTTTTCAGTATCTGTAGATGCAGAAGTCCAGTGAAATGGAGAGCAACTCCTCCTTGTTTTGGCTGCATTTTCAATAGCAGAGAAATGCAAAGCAGAATTCAGACTTCTAAGTTGTGCTCCACTCTTTGGTGCAGTGTGCAGTATTGGTGATTCTGCTTCACCAGCTAATTTAAGAGCAAGAACTTCAGCAGTACCTTGAGCTTCAAAATTTGCCTTCTTCAGGCTTGAAGGAGTAAATGAGCACAATGAATGTAAACGAAGACCCGGAATTAATTTGGGAGGAAGAGGAGGAGGAAGAGGAAGAGGAGGACGACGATTAGGAGTCAGTAGATGTTGATGAAAATCTCCAAAAACTGGAGACTGGGGAATGCTGATTTTTGAAAGTGATTTTTGACTATGTGGGCTGAATTCTGGTTGTGGCTTAGAGACAGACCCAAACAGTCCAACTTCAGTGGCCCCAGCACTGTATTCAACGTTAGCAGCCCCGTTAAAGCTCATTCTAGTGGAATCTGGTGAGATGCCCGGTTTAACCAAGGGAACTGACACTTCGTCACTTTGACATTGGAGATGTTGCAGTTGTTCTTCAACTCTAGTTAGAAAACGGTCAGATAAACCTGCCTGAGAAGGAAACTGTCAAATAAAATTATAAGAAAACAAAATAGTTCTGGAGTTGAAATCAATTTTTTTTTGTAATTGAACATTTCCACCCCATTAGATATAATATCAATCTAATCACCATGAAACCCAACATAAAGCCTATTCTTCTGGTCAATTAAACAAGTAACTTCTTTCCTTGCACATGAAGCCAGGCAAATTCAGACTAGAAATATGGTGCACATTTTTAATAGTGAGGTATTAGACTAATTTCACAATTTCCATGCAATCCATGAAATCATGAATTCTACAGGATCTTATTCATAGTGGGATTTTGGCTGAGGGTGTGCAGAGCAGGGTAGAAAGGAAGGTATTGCAAGAGTTGGGTGAAACCAGGCTGAGTTAAAATATCTTTGAAATTGGGTGCGAATAGACCCTACAATTAACATGACTGTCAGGATTAGGTAGTCCCCCCCAACCTATGACAAAAATCCATCCAGGAGATTTGGACCCAGGGGTTAATGGGAGAATTGCTCTGGTATGTATGGTCCCTGAATGGATTCACAATTGCTTTTGTCTTATGTGGAGATGGAAGGGACGATCATGCTTAATATATTTTTACAATCAAGTTAATTATATCAGAGGGGTAGCCGTGTTAGTCTGAATGCATCTGACGAAGTGGGTCTTTGCCCACGAAAGCTTATGCTCCTACACTTCAGTTACTCTACAAGGTGCCACAGGACTCCTCGAAGTTAATTATAGGTTGTGTTCACACCGAAAGAGGCAAAAAGCAAGAGAGCCAAGAAGTAGCCTATGAAGACCCTGCAAAAAGTGAGAGAGAGAGAGACCTTTAGTCAGTAACAGTCTCCAAAAAGTTTGGGATTATAAACAAACTATTTTTTGTTTTCTGGTTCCTCCTGCTTTGACACACACACAACCTTATACATTCCTTGTTAATAAGCAAGACTGCACCAAAGAACATACCAATCCCTTTCATTAGTTTCTACCCCCTCCAGTGGGAATATCCCCAGAACCTCAAACTTTGACTAGCTGTTTGGGTTAAAAAAGGGGTAACAGTATTTTGTGGGGTGAGGCACAATGGATGTACAAGAGCAGGACTCTGCCAGCAAACTAAGGAGGTTTACTTGCTGAGGCACATATAATATGCCACAATTAAATTGGCTTAAGCAGCCTTTGTATGGATGCAAGGACAAGCCTCAACCTGATTCAAGGTGACTACTCTGGACAGTTACTGGTACTTCAGTCAGCGCAATACAACAACTGACAGAAGTACCACTATATGAATACTCAAATGAAATCAAGTCCTTGGACTAGACAGACAGGGAAGAATTTATCCAGAGAGTTAAAGAGTGACTAGCATCCTCCTCTCTCCCAGATCACTGCTGTAATGGGGCCTGGTGCCACAACACCTTTCATGTACCTTGCCTTGCTTTGGGAGAGTCTGCTGATTTATTGCATTTCACACAAACATTTGTGCAATTAATTGTATCCAGAATAATAAGAAATGCAGCAGACTTTATAAACAACTATCAACTGTTACCTTCTATACAAGGGGTTGCCAAACTTATTGGACCTCTGAGTCACATGCAACAATCTTCAGGACTATGAGAGCCAGCGCACACCTGCTGGGAGCTTTGGGGTTTCAGCCCTGTTCCTGTTGAAGCCCTGCGCCCTGGTAGGCATGCCCTGCAGAGCTGAAGCCCGAAGACCACCCACCCACACTCTTGGGAGAATCCCCACTGTATTACCTTGCAGTAAGGTAGTGGTCTTAATCCTCTCCACTGTCTGGTAGGTGAAGAATGGTGTGGCGTTGGGGTGCTCTACAAAGCACACTTCAATGGTTAAAGAGCCACATGTGGCTCATGAGTCAAAGTGTGGCCACACCAGTTATATGCCATCTACTACCACAACCGGGGAAAATGCAAAAAACGTTCAAAATAAAAACATGCTAAGCACATTTATCGAGTCACATTTACCAAATCCCGTGGCTCTGTTAGAAGACATGTATTCAAGTCCAGGTGTCTTAGGCTCGCAGTCCATGTGAGATAAAAAGTCTAAGTGTTCTGGCGCCATAGGTTCCATAATGTTTGGAACACCAAGATGCTGAACGTCATTAACATTCTACATTGAAATGCAACAGAATTCCAAACTAGAGACTGGTCTTTAATTTTACTGTGATCTTTAAAAGTGATGCTTGCTATGCCAGAAATTCCTCCTCTGCGGGGATACCACAGAAACTCAAAACAAGGTACGTCACCATCAGTTGCTATGTGATTAATATAGCTGGAGTTGTGTATCTTGATTTGACCTTCCCCTGTAGTGTAGGCCTGGCCTCAGTTGGGGGTCAAGGGCTGAGTCTGCTAGCAGAAGAGGAGTGAGAAGTCCTCCTACTTACATTCCCTCAGTTTCCAGCTCTATACTGCCACCTGTGTTTTGTTAGAAAAAGAATCCAATGAGGGGGCACCAGCTAGTTGAGACGGGGGAGAGAAAATTAAATCAGATTGGTCATCCAGAGCTAAGGATCAGTGAAAATTAATTTGCCTTTTTTTTTTAATTCACAGCAGCACCCATCGTAGATGTTTGAATTTCAGATGTTTGAATCTCACATACCTGCTCATGCTCCAAACAGTGAATCCTGGTCTCAGCTCGCCAGTCAAAGAGATTAAGCACTGCAGTGTCTCTCTTGGGACTGTGGGAGGCTGCTGATGAAAAGAGCGCGACTCTTAATTCCTGTGCATTGTCAGTGCTATCCCCTCCTTCCCCCAGCTGGCCAGACAGGAAAGTCGCAGTGGTGGCCTAGGGAAATATAACATGGAGTTACTATTAGAAGTATAACTGGTTGGAAAACATAAATTTATATAATTAATTGCATCCAGAATAAAAAAAAAAAAACAGGAACACATAAAGCTCATTTACTGATTCACATCTGCTGAATCCCACTGCTCTGGTTAGAGACTGGAGTCCATGCTCAGATGTCTTAGGCTCCCAGTCCATGTAGGGTAAAAAGTCTGTATCTTCCTTAGCTATAAGTTCGGGAATGTTTGGAACACCAGAGTGCTGAACTTCAGTAATATCCTACATTGAAATGTAACAGAATTACAGATTAGAGAGCGGTTTTTAATTGTATTATGATCTTTAAAAGTGATGCTTGTTATGCCAGAGATTCCTTCTCTGTCAAACAATGTAAGGCTGAGAGTTAAATGAGGGGTAAAATCGGTGAGGACTATACAAAGGAGGTGCATTCAGTATATGTAAGGTTGCCAGATACTTTAAAAAAAAATACCAAACATGGCGGGAAAAAAATAGTTGTAAGCAAAAAAAAAAAAAAAAAAAAGGTCACTGCACCTTTAAATCGCCACACTCCCTGCTCCTTCTATCCTGCCAGACGTGGCAGGAGAAGAATATCCCCACTGGCCTTCTGTCTGAGAAAAACAGAAAATACCAGACATTTTATATGTCCGGTATTTTCTGTTTTTTTTTACCGGACAGAGGCAGCGAAAACTGGACACCTGGCAACCCTAAGTGTATGAAAATTCTCGGTATATACAAACACAGTAAAAGTAACATTATAATGCCCTGACTGTATTAAGGGTTGTTGTATCATAACACACGATGGTAGTAAATGGACTTCCACACTACATTGGCAATGCACTTTGATGTATTCGGAGAAACATCTTCTGTAACTTAGTTCAGAAATTAGCCTCTATTTTGCTTTCAAGTAAGCAGATCGATCAGACACTTTAAAATTTTTGATGTCAGCTGTTACTCATTTGTCACTTCCCCATCACAACTCCTTTATACAAGCTAATGGTTAAGATCAACCAAGCAAATCAATATGTTGTAGATTACGAAAATAAAACATAAAAAATAAAAAATAATAAAATAATACAATACAACAATAAAATATTTTTTCGATGAGAGTGTAATGTAGAAGTCTGGATTGTGGTAGATGAATGTACAGAATCCTAACATACGAAGATGATGTTTACATTTCTTTTTTTCTGATTTATGTACAAGATACATGATGTGCTTTATTACGTATTTGGTAAAGATTTTTTCCAACTTTTTGGAACCAGTATGTAGTTAACATGTTATTTGATTTTTATACTACCTATCTTATACTGTTTAAGTTTAACTATCATTTATGATATTTCACAATAATCAGCGCCTTAGTGGAACGGCACTTTGTTTTTAAAAACTGTATTATATAAAGATCATTACTAGACAGTATCAACAGAGATGATTATATTTTCTGAAAGTCAGTGACTAGAACTGCCAGAAGAGTGAAAGCTCTGACTAGTCTCCTGCTAGGGAAGTAGCGGCCAAGTGCAGAGGAGGTAGTACATAGAGTGCTGCTGTGGTGGGGTCACCAGCTCCACCCCCTTCAACCCTAAGGCCTGGTCCTTTAACTGCTGGCCCCGCGGCCTAGTCCTTTGAATACAGGCCCCGCGGCCTAGTCCTTTGAATACAGGCCCCGCGGCCTAGCCCTTTATGGTATCCCCTTGTCGTCCGGGATCTGGGAGGAAGGGATAGGGGGGCTCGGGCCCTCCCTTCCACCAGGCCCCAACCGAGGGCCCTATCAGTGGTGGGTGGTTCCCACCACTGGCTCAGTGGGGAGTTCTCCCCGAAACTTGCCGAGCCCGCTGGGGCCTTTCCTGGTCCCCGCCGTGGGTTGCTTCCTACCCCTTCACCCAGGCCGACAGCGGTCCCACCTGTGGATGCAGGTCTGGCTACAGCAGCACCGTTGGCAGGCATGGCTTGGGAGACAGCAGTGGCTGGGGCAGCGACAGCTTCTAGGGAGGCTGCACAGTGCAGCTGGCATTGCGGTCTAGCTCATCGGGGAGACAACAGCGGCAGGGGGTAACTGGTTTGGCGCCTCTTGTTCCAGTTGCAATGGCTGGGGCTCCTATGTCTGGAGAGGATCTCCTTCTTCTCCAGCGGCCCACCCCAACTGAGCAGCCCTGCTGCCTTTTATACCTGGGCTGCATTGTGAGCATGCTCAGCAGGGCTGCAGGGGAGGGGCGTTTTCTACCCAATAGGTGAGCTCTCCACCCCCTTGTTCAGTGCAGGGCTGGCCAGCCCTGTCACAGCTGCACAGAGCTTAACAGTAAAACTTTGCCTGCTTAAGGAGTGACATTTCTAAGAAAGGGACAACAATTCCACCAGTAACTACTGTATAGCATTGCAGAGATATTATACATGCTATGACATCTACCTAATGTAACATTCTTAAAGAGCACAAACAAAACAGTATTTATTTCTATGAACAAAATCTGCACCAGCCTATTTTTTGTTGTAAATGAAGTAGAAGTGCAATTGTGCAAAACATGGACATATCTTCAATTCCTTAAATTATCCCAGTTTATTCAGTGCTTTCTCCATGACATTCAGATAATTATTCTATAATAGGCAATTGATTATTTTCTTTAGTATTCATATATAATAAATAATAATTATAACAACTATCAGTATTACTTATATTATAAAAATGCCTAATATGTTAGTTGCTGTACAGACTTATGGGAAAACACAGCCCTTGCTCCTCAGGGCCCAAACAGTTTCTTTCAATTACAATTGCAGTACTACTTGGTAAAACCATTCTGCTAGATCAAAAAGCTCATTCTGGACACAAGATGGTGACTTTATAGGAGTTGTGCCTACAGATACAGTCTAAAAGTGAGAATACTTGCATAGTTCTGAATTCTGCCACATGTGTACACAGATACAAAAAGAAATCTGCAGCTTCTAAATCATTAAAAAAGCAAATATCTCCAAAATAAACATAGATTATGTGTTGGTTCAAGGGAGGGTAGTGGGTGGGACAGACACGGATTTTGTTTGGTTGCCTAGGTATTCCAATGACATATGCTATAAAAGAAGCTTCATAAGGAAAGTCAAAAAGCTTCATTCAAAAAGCGCCAAACAACATAAGCTTTTGCAAAAATAATAATTTTAGTTCTTCTGAAAAAGAACCAGAATTGTTCACTGTGATAATATTAAGCAATGTATGCTTTAACAGTTCTTACAAGAATTACAGTATTTGTTTTTCTTTTCAGTTATTTTCTAAAGACATTTTAGAGAGACACAAACTGAATGGGATAATTCAATAGAAACACATACCCTTTTCTCTACTGCCACAAAACTTGTAAACTGGGTTATGATGGAGTTCTCCATGCTGAGATTAATAATCAGGACTTTCAAAGTATGTTTCTTCATCTAGAGTGTTATATATTAACAAGATATGTTTAAAAAGAAAGCATTCATGTGAAAACAATGATATTAACTAAAATAAATACTAGTGTCAAAACTGAATATACTCAATATGTTCTGATGCCCTCTGGATACAGGCATATAATTAAGCTCAGCTCACAACTATTTCTACAGAAGGCTTATATGTTTCTGTTTGTATGCCTTATTCCCTGCTTCCTATTTAGAAGTTTTGAAGGGAGAGGGGCTCATTCCATGAGGAGTAACAGTAGTTCCAATTAGGATTTTTAATTCGAACTACCTACTCTGTGGGCTGTGGGCACGGAGTTCAGACTAAGGGGGATTTAAAAATGGTGATGCCCGGAAACATGCAAATGAAGCCCAGGATATTTAAATCCCGGGCTTCATTTGTAACTCCGCTTGCCCTCATTACCCTACCTAGCTCGAACTAACGATCTAGTGTGGACATACCCTGAGCTACTTGCAATTTATTCACTTGTACTGTGGAAGAGGAAACTGGAACTGGTAATTCTTAAAGAAAAATGGCACTGGAATGGCCTAAGTCAGAAGTCAGTCAGGGCTGTATAAACTAGCTACTATGGTCTTGGGCTTCCATCTCCTTCCAGTGCAGGCATATGACTATCAGATCCTAGATCAGTGACAGGCATTACTGAAACCTAAAGGGCAGCAGATCAGCAGCACAACTTTCCCTCTTCCCAATAAAGCACGATGTCTTGAATCTATGGGGCACCATTTGTATCAAGTCAGGAATGGAAATGCTCACGGGCTCAGAAACATCCTGTATCACAGGCAGATTGCAACACGCTGGGACCTCTCTGAAAAAAACAGCCTTGTTTGCCAGAATCTCAACTTTCATTTAATTAAAATAAAGTAAGCCTCTAGCCCCAAACTGCCTCACCTGGCCCTGCCTGTGCTTCATCAGAGCTCCCCCTATCTCCTCCGTCAGCCTGCTGTTGCAGTGCAGAGGCTGGGGTAGGCAGGCTGGGGGCTAAACTGCCTGTCCTCCCAGTGCTGGGGCCACTCTAGTTGCTGGGTATCAGGATTGGTGTCTCAGTGGAGGGATTGGCTTCCTGCTTAGGGGTCTCACTGGCAGACTCACGGCACTCCTCTCTAGTACTCTGGGGCCAAGGGAGGCTGAGGCAGTACTGCCCACCAGAGATCTGGGGTCAGGCTCTCTGGAGCACTGGGGCAGGCTGGAGCCGTGCTGCTTGACAGCTTTCTGGAGCTCCAGGGCTGGGGGAGGTGAGGCTGCACCACCAGCCAGCTCTTTGAAGCTCCAGGGCCAGGGAAGGCTGGGGTGTGCTAACTTGGTTTGGGGGTGCGATCCTGGGGCAGAGGGTAAAGGCCAGCAGCCACATTAGTAGGCAGAGCTGGGCAGGGGCCAGCAGTGGCCACACTGGGGAGGGGCAGGGCTCTGGTGGGCACAGAAGAGGTAGGGCTGGGCAGAGCTTGCCTCCTCAAACCATGGACCTCTCCTGTTATGACTATGAAGAAAACCTCAAAAATGTGACCTGGGTGTAATTGGTATGGAGATTTCTGTTGCTATACAGAGCATGGACCTAGCTCTGAAAGGTGAGATTGGCCTGTAAGTTTTCAGAGCTACTGGCCTCTTACCCACTCACTTGAGTGAGGTGTTACCTCAAATGCCCAATGATGATAATTTAAATGCCAATATAGTTAACTATTTGTAAGGAAGTAGTATGGGAGAGTCACAAATGTGCAAAATTTACAATCTGTGAAATAACTGTCTCACTTTGATGCCTCAAGATGATGATATTTGGAAGATACCATCACTTATTTATTCCTCCCAGTCAACTCCAATTTGCCTAGAAGAGCATACGGGCATATTCAAGTCCTAGTGATGGGGAACAGGGGAGACAATCTCAGGAGACCAGTGGAGCTCTAAACAATTTTAAACACCTGCCTGATTTACTGTGATGCAACATTACACAGACTCACATAGGCATTATTTTGTGGGCAGCATGTTGAAAAGTACCACTACAAGTTGCACCTCCCTGGTCCAGCACCCTTGGGACGAGAGCTGTCCCGGACCAGGGAGTTTGCCAGACCAGAGGTGGTCAGTGCTCCCCTGCTGGCTGCCCTGCTCCTGTGCTCCTCTCCCTGTGGCTCACTGCCCTGCCACTGGCCCCACTAAAGCTAGCCCAGCATGGCTCCCCTCCTTGCTGCTCACTTGCTTCCCCAGAGTTTCTTGGGGTTACCAGTGAGGACCACTTGGCTGCTGCCAGTCCCATTGCCACACCAACCCTGCTGCCCTCTGGGTTCCCCAGCCAGGGCCGTCCAGCCACCTTGCCCCACTGCTGGGGCTGCCCCACTGCTGCTGGGGATTCCAGCCTGCTCGCCTCCACCAGATCCACTTCAACCAGGGCTTCCTGGTGGAGGCTGCCTGGTCTTCCCAGCCCTGCTGCCACTGGGGGTTTCCCAGGGTTCCTGGATGAAGCCACCTGGGCACGTGGCACTGCTAATGCTGGGGGTTCCCCAGCTCGAGCAGGAGCTCACAGCCGCCACCTGGCCCCCTGACTCTGGGAATTCCCTGGTTGGGATTAGGGTTCCCCAGCCACCACCTGGATTCATTAATGCCAGGGGTTCCGAGCCAGGGTGGGGGTTCCCCAGATGCTGCCTGGCACAGCGGGGCTCCTCAACCCCGGTGTTGCTTCATGGCTATTTGGTCCAGTAACACCCCCTGGTCCTGCCAGACCACAGAGGTTGCTGGACCACAGAGTCCTGGATCTGGGAGGTTCAACATGTACTATGTTTTTCCACCACTCTGACTCCAGAGCTTGGTACTGACTCTTGCCTACACTACCATCCTAGTTCGAACTAGGGTGGTAATGTAGGCAACCGGAGTTGCAAATGAAGCCCGGGATTTGAATTTCCCGGGCTTCATTTGCATATTGCCGGGCGCCGCCATTTTTAAATGTCCGCTAGTGCGGACTCCGTGCCGCGCAGCTACACGCGGCACGGACTAGGTAGTTCGAACTAGGCTTCCTATTCCGAACTACCGTTACTCCTCGTGGAAGCCTAGGAAGCCTAGTCCGAACTACCTAGTGGGACTACTCAGTGGGACTACTCAGATGAAGTCCGAACTACCTAGTGGGACTACTCAGATGAGTACAGTTTGCAGGATCAGGCCTTCACCCATACAAGTAAAGATTTACAGGATCATGTCTTATGTCTATAACCGGATGTTTAACTGAATGTTGAAAAATTGGAAGGTGTTCAGAAAACAGCTCCAAGAATGATCTGAGGTGTAGAAAACATACCTTCCAGTGAGAGACTTAAGAAATTCAGTCTGTTTGGCTTATCCAAGAGAAGGTTAAGAAGTGACTTGATCACTGTCTACAAGTATCTACACAGGTAAAAGATTTCTGACAGTGGACAACTCTTTAACAGACACTAAGTAGAATTCATCTAGGGATGTGATGGGTTATCTATCACTTGAGCATCATATTAAATGCTCATAATAGTCCATTCTGGCCTTAAAACCCATGATATTCATATTGTAACCTTCTAATTTCCATTCCCAAGTCAAAGATTCTCTCCACTTCTTCTCTTCCCATCTCTTCTCACTGAATCCCTTTAACTGTTCTCGTTTTAAACATAAACTGAAATAAAACAGAGATTCCTAGTTCATATTCCTATCTTCAGAATGACAAACCTCATGTTCTGTTTCATTTTCATGAAGTATCCCGTTTTCATAGTCCCTAATGAGGGCTCTTGCTGTGAGTTTGTGGAGCAGCTACATTAAGGAAAAAAAGACAAGTTCAAATGATCACCAATCTAAAAACTTGCATTTAAAAATTTCCATTTGACGTATTAGAACTTCCTCTGAATGAAGAGGGGTAGTGGGGAGGAGGCACTGAAAGCCAGGACTCTCAGCTCTGTACAGCTCCCCATGAGGAACCCAGCTATCCCTCCTAGGCTCTCAGCTCTTTTCCTCCTCACCTGGCTTCTCACATCCCTAAGCAGAGACCCTCATGGGCACAGCCCAGTGGGGGAACCAGGCTTTAGCTATCCAGCTTTTCTGTCAATTTCACAGTTCTAGCACAGCCTCCTCCCCCCTCCCCCCCCGGCCTGAAACTGAAAAGACAGCCAACAGCCGATGCTAGTAACACAATGTCTACAGACACTGGAGGTGCGTCACCAGCTTCCCCATTGCTGGAGCTACACTGACGTAAGCCTTATGTCTCTTGTGGAGCGGAACTATGTCATTGTAGTAGGGCACTTATATTGGTGGAACAAGGCTATAGTGCAGGGTAAAAGGGCCTTCTTGGGCCAAATCTGGCCCACCAAGCAGGTTGATCTGGCCTGAGGAGGTCCTGCCACTCTCCTGTGCCCAGGCCAATCAGGGCCTCGGGACTAGGGAGGACATGATGCTTAGAGTCAACCCTAGAGGTTGACTAAGTGCCACGTGCTGGAGGGCAGGGAGCGAGAGACTTTGTGCCCCCCCACCCTCAGGCCAATCAGGACGTGGGAGCAGGGGGAAGAACACAACGTCTCCTCTCACCCTGCCCATGCCCTGCAAGGAGTGCACAGTGCTTAAAAGCACCACATGCTCCTTGCAGGATGGGGGCAGGGTGGGAGGAGATTTTGCGTGCTCCTCTCGCCCGCAAGCTGTGATTGGCATGGAGGCACCCGATCCTCCGGAAAAAGTGCCCTTTTCCGGAGGCTCTTATTCTTACTCCTCTCACCCGCAAGCTGTGATTGGCCATGGAGGCGGGGGAGCGTGCGAAGTCTCCTCCCACCCAGCAAGGGGCTCAGCACTTAGAATCAACTGCCAGTTGCTGCTCAGTTGGCAGGTGACTCTTAGCAAGGCTTTCTCTTGCAGGGCGGGGGCAGACTTCGCATGTTCCCCCTGCCCCCAAGCCATGATTGACCAGGGGGCATGAGAAGAAGCACACAAAGTCTCCTCCCACTGCCAGGGGGGCAGGTGCCCAGAGGGAACCACCAGCTGTTCAGAACAGCTGGCGGGTCTCTCTGGGAGGGGCAGGGGCAGGGGCAAAGATTTCATGCACTTCCCCACCCCTAGACCAATCAGAGTCTGTAGACATGGAAGCATGGAAGTGTTCTGGCCCTGCCCCTTCTGCCTGAGGCCCCTCCCCTTCTGGGGCGGGCCTGGAGCCACTTAAAAAATTTCTGAAGTGATCTCTGGTCAAAAGGCCTTGCCCATCCCTTCTTTAGTGTGTACAAACATAATCAGGTTGACGCAAGACAGCTTATATCCACCGAATTGTGTAGTGTAGCCCAAGCCTCGGCTCTTAGAATTTTTCCAAAATGCAAAGCAAATGCTGCTGCATCATCCCCAGTAAACATCACACCAACATCTGAAACTACCGAGGCAGCCCCAACAAATTCCTAAAATGAGAAGAACCACCTCTCGCACAGGTAAGTTTATACTTTCTAAGTCAGTCTGGGTCAGCAAGCATGGAGGAAATTGGCTCATTTATCCCACATGGGTCAGTTGCCTTTTTAAAAGCTTCTTTCATATGAGGCTAAGGTTCTTTATTAAAACAGCAGAAGCAAAAATGTTGAAGACAGGGGTATGTGCGGTTTTAAAGCAACATGTAAAACGATCTGTATAAATAACGTTGGCCTGACTCACTGTTCCTGTTGTCTTCTGTAATTCAGTGGTTGAGATCATTGCTTGCAATTCTTGGTCATTTATTAGTGCATTTAAAGTGGCCTGAAAGAAATAAGAAAAATATTCCTCTGATTTTTCCCTACTATTCTTTGCTATCAGCATTTCTGCAGTGATGCTCAAGTTTCAAGAAATGCGAATAAAATTTGAGATGTGAGTGATCAGATGCATATCTTTATAAATATATTCCATGATACACACAAGAATCTAGAGAGAAGAGTCACAAAAATTGAATCCTGAACGTATTTAATCATAATTACATGGATATCACATATGCCATCTTTGCTGAGAAGATTATGTGCCATTACACCCCCTACTCTTCATGAAAATATTATTATATGAATATGGCATAAATAATATGTTTTATGCAAGATGGGTCATGTGAGATCTCATTGGAAAGATTATTTTACTCAATGTGATTATCCTATTTGTATGCATATATCACTTCTGTAACTGGAATTAGGTATATGGACCCTGTGTCGATTACAAGTGCTTGCACCTTTGGAACATCCACCAGACAGTAGGCATTCAGCCTCGATGGGCCAATAGCAAGGACAATAGGACTGTGATTATACTAATCGCTCTCCTTCCTGAGAATTTTCTTGGGATGCTGCTTTGACATTGCAAGGTCATGTGATCATGTCACCTGATGCAGATATTCTTTCCCTGGAAGGTGGGGGAATCAAACTAGCAAACAAAAGATTTCCATGATATGTACATTCTATTTAAGGCTGGGGAGTGAGTTAATCTTGGTTCTTCTCCATTGCCATCCTGCCCAAGCAGGAAGACTGCTAAAAACACCTAAAGAAACAAAAGAACTAAGCTAGGGGGCAGGGAGAACAGGGCGGAACCCAGACACGAAAGATCAACCTGCAAAGCAGTTACCTGGAGATTTAAGCTGCAAGCCATGCAGTTTACCTTCAAGAAACTCTGCAATCTACATGAAATGACATTTAGGATGAGAAATTAATATTTGTAGCTAATTTCTTTAATGTATACAGCCTCATTTGCATGTTTTGTTTTATTTGCTCAGTAATCTGTTTGGTTGAGTTTACTAGCCCTTTTAACAGGAGTGTGCAATAATTTCTGAGGGGGCACCATTCCAAGAATTTGTAAGTGGTCATGGGCCACACTTTTCTGCAATATTATTGGAGAAGGTTGTGGGGCCTGGGAGGGAGTTTGGATGCAGAAGGGGGTTGTAACCTGGGGCAGGGCAAGAGGGAGTGCAGGGTCTGGGAGAATGTTTAGGTGCAAGGAGGAGGCAGTGTCCTAGGGCCAGCTGCTGGGAAAACATGTCTCTGCATACCCCTTGGCTGGGGGCAAATGGGACAGCGTGTCTTTGCATGCTGCCTGTGTCCACAAGCACTGCCTCTGCAGCTCCCATTGTCCAGAACTGCCTCTCCCCAGCCAAGCAATGCACAGAGACATGCCTTCCCTAGCACACAGCCACTTTGAGCAGCTTGTGGGACCGCAGTAGGCAGGCAGCTTGTTTGAGTGCTCCACTGGGTTGCAGGACATTAGCAGCCTGGAGGCTCATAGTGGGACGAATCCAAATATTTGGTGGGCTGGATCTCACCCACAGGTTGCATTTTGTCCACTTCTGCCTTATAATCACTTAAAATTCACCTTTTGTAGTGAATAAATGTGCTTTTGGGCTATTCTAAACCCAGTTTGTGCAATTCATAATTGGGGGAAAGGGAAGTTGTGCATATCTTCCTTCACATCGAAGGTAGGGGCAAATTTCATGAGGGGGGTATGTTGCATAGATCTCTATACAATGTAGGACAATATAATTTTGAGTTTACATTCCAGAGAGTGTACGCACCTGAGTGCTGGGCAATTCCTTGATCCGAGTCCTCCTAAGCTTATTGCATGATTCGACAGGTGGGAGTGTCCCTACCTGTGTGTGTGCTAGAAGGGGGCTTGAGAGTGTGACACTTCCCATCCCCATGCTTTAGGAAACTGGCTTGTGAATGTAAATATGCAGAATTTGAAGATGCTTTGGACAAAATACCTCATGTAATCTATACATTTTAATGTTATAATCTGCTGGATCTGTATAGCTTATTTTGGTGCATGTATCATTCTTGTATGTACAATTAGAACTATGAAGTATGAGATTGTTTATCATTTTAAATGTGCTAATGGTGATTGGGAAGCCTTAACGATTGAGTGGTCAACTTGATGGCTGTGTCTAGACTGGCCAGTTTTTCTGGAAAATCAGCCACTTTTCCGGAAAAACTTGCCAGCTGTCTACACTGGCTGCTTGAATTTCCGCAAAAGCACTGACTTCTTACTGTAAGAAATCAGTGCTTCTTGCAGAAATACTATGCTGCTCCCGTTCAGGCAAAAGTCCTTTTGTGCAAAACTTTTGTGCAAAAGGGCCAGCATAGACAGCTCAGATTTGTTTTCCGCAAAAAAGCCCTGATTGCGAAAATGGCAATTGGGGCTTTTTTGCAGAAAAGCGCGTCGAGATTGCGCGTCGAGTGCTTTTGCGGAAAAGCATCCATGCCAATCTAGACGCTCTGTTCTGAAAATGCTTTTAACGGAAAACTTTTCCGTTAAAAGCATTTCCGGAAAATCATGCCAGTCTAGACGTAGCCAATGATTTGTGAACAAATTGTCCTATAAGTCCAAGGGTGATTGGACAGGTAAGACTTGTGATCATACCACCTGGTACTAGAATTCCATTTTAACCAGACAATTTTCCATGGAAGGGGGACTGGAGAACAAAGGATAAGTGTCCAGGGGAAAGTCAATTTAAACAATGAGAAGCTATCATTCCCTTTGTCTTCGGCTGGCTTGGGAACAAAGACAACTGGAGACCCAAGACAGAGTAAAAGATCATCTTTGACTTGAAGGCTTACCTGAAATAAGAACAGCTTTTAGGGTGAGAAACTGTTTGCAGTAAGTTTCAGTATATGAGAATTAGCTATGTGATTTATTTTCATTAAAATTCTGTAATTTACTTTGATCTGTCTGTTTTCACTTGCAACCACTTAAAAGTTCTTGGACTGCATTGGAGACAATTTTTTATTTCAGAATGTTGAGAAAGCTACTGGGAGGAAGCTGTTCTTGATTGATTTTAACAAATAGGGAGGAACTGGTTGAAAATGTGAAAGTGGAAGGCAGCTTGGGTGAAAGTGAAAATGAAATCACAGAGCTCATGATTCTAAGGCATGGTAGAATGGAGAACAGCAAAATAGAGACAATGGATTTTAGGAAGGCAGATTATAGTAAACTCGGAGGCTGATAGGTAAGGTCCCATGAGAAGCAAGACTAAGAAGAAAAACAACTGAAGAGATCTGGCAGTTTTTTAAAGGGACATTATTAAGGGCCCAAAAGCAAGCTATTCCACTGCATAGGAAAGATAGAAAGTATGGCAGGAGACCGCCTTGGATCAACCAGGAGAACTTACATGATCTAAAAATAAAAAGGAGTAATAAAAAGTGGAAACCAGGTTAAATTATAAAGGATGAATATAAGCAAACAACACTGGTATGCAGGGGCAAGATTAGAAAGGCAAAGGCACAAAATGAGCTAAATCTAGCTAGAGACATAAAGGGTAACAAGAAGACATTCTACAAATATATTAGAAGCAATAGGAAGACCAAGGACAGGGTAAGCCCATTCCTCAGTGAAGAGGGAGAAACAATAACAGGAAACTTGGAAATGGCAGAGGTTCTTAATGACGTCTTTGTTTCAGTTTGCTAGTGGAAATGGGGTAGGTTTAGAAGTTAAAATAAAAAAGAAGTTTTACATTACTTTAAAAAGTTAGATGCCTTCAAGTCACCAGGGCCTGATGAAATACCTCCTCTATCAACTCTAGGATGCATCTGAGCCTTGAGCTTACATCTTTGAAAAATCAAGGAAGTTGGGAGAGATTCCAGAGGACTGAAAAAGGGCAAATATGGTACCCATCTATAAAAAGGGAAATCAGAACAACCCAGGATACTACAGTCACATTAACTTCCATGCCAGTCAGTTTAACTTCTGTGCCAGGGAAGATAATGGAGCAAATAATTAAGGAATTGATCTGCAAATATCTGAAACATAATAAGATGATAGGAAACAGCCAGCATGGATTTGTAAAGAACAAATCATGTCAAACCAATCTGATATCCTATCAAACAAAGCTATCTTTATTTTCTTTGTAACCATTTTTTAAGATCTATATTTGCTAGCAGTTAAGAAATAGAGCAATAGCCATTGTAACCATATGATTTATAAGCTTCTTTAATAAACCTGTAACTGTTCCTAAATTTTATACATATATAGAACACCTAACCATCACAAGTAACATACACACACACACACACACACACACATACACACACACACACACACACACACTGCCCTGACCACCGGCTGACAGTGTGACATTGTTGCAAACAAAGCAAACATGATTCTGGGATGCATTAACAGAAGTGTTGTGAGCAAGACATGAAAAGTCATTCTTCCACTCTACTCTGCACTGATTAGGCCTCAGTTGGTGTATTGTATCCAGTTCTGGGCACCACATTTCAAGAAAGATGTGGAGAAATTGGAGAAAGTCCAGAGAAGAGCAACAAGAATGATTAAAGGTCTAGAAAACATGAGCTATAAGAGAAGACTGAAAAAACTGGGCTTGTTTATTTTAGAAAAGAAAAGACTGAGAGGAGACGTGATAGCAGTTTTCAAGTATCTAAAAGGGTGTTAAAAGGAGGAGGGAGAAAATTTGTTCTCCTTGGCCTCTTATGAGAGGACAAGAAGCAATGGGCTTAAATTGCAGCAAGGGAGGTTTAGGTTGGACATTAGGAAAAAGTTCCTGTCAAGGTGGTTAAATACTGCAATAAATTGCTTAGGAGGGCTGTGGAATCTCCATCACCAGACATATTTAAGAGCAGGTTAAACAGACACCTGTCAGGGATGATCTAGATGGTGCTTGGGACTTGATGATCTCTCGAGGTCCCTTCCAGTTCTAGTGTTTTATGATTCTATGAAATCCTACTGTTTGTACTTAATAAAGACACTTTTGTTTACTATCAAGCCCAGTGTAAATAATGTTACCTGAGGGGAACAACCAGCGTACTCATCCTTCTTTCTTTGATAAAGGGGGCTCACCTGAATGAACTTTCACTGTGTAAAACTTTTACACAGAGAAAGACAGATTTATTTGGAATTTTGCTCCCTTTTGGGGGTTGGCTTCCTGGATGCTCTGCCCTAGAATGGTGATTTTCAAAGTACGAGTCCAGATCCAGTACTGGGTTGTGGAAAGACAGGCATTGGGTCACCTTTCTGTAAAGTAACAGGGTGACAAGCGTGGGTACTAAGGCCAGCTTCCTGCCTGTCCTGGACCACACTGTGCCATGGAAGGAGTCAGCAGAGGGTCCAGCTCCTAGGTGGAGGTGAGTAGTCAACTCTCACAAGATAAAAAAGCAAAACAAGCCAAGAAACGAAGCCAATCCCCTTTCAAAACAAGCCTAAAATGAGCTCTGTCCATTTTTGCTCAGCAATGCCAGGAGACATACTAGGAATCGGCCAATGGGAGTGTGGAGCCAGAGCCTGGGATGGGGGCAGCCTGTGGAGCTGGTCCTGCTGCTGGCCACTTCCAGGGTGCAGTGCAGTCCGCTGTGGAAGAACAGGCAAGAATCCTTGCCTTACCATCCCACTGCATCACTGACCGGGAGTTTAAACCCCAACAATCACTGTCCCCAACCTGAGCCCCCCCAAACCCAGAAACCCTTCCTGAATCCAAAACACCTCATCTCCAGCACCATCCCATAGCCTTCACCCCCAGACAGAGCCCACACCCCTTGCACCCCACCCTTATGCCCCATCCCAGAGTCCCTACCCACATGCAGTACTGAACCCCTCTGCCCTACCCCCTATCCGGCACCCCAATCCCCTCATCTCTGGCCCCACCCCTAGGCAAAGCCTTCATCCCGCTGCACCCTCTGTCAACCCAAAACCATCATCCCTGCAGTCCTGCCATGAAGCTGGAACTCTAGTTAAAAGATATAATTATGCTGGGTAAAAGGCATCAATAATTTTCTTCAACTAGGTCATGAGAAAAAAAGTTTGAAACCCACTGAGTTATGGTACTAGCTTAAAAATTAAGAGACCTGGGTTCAAATCCCTCCTCCAGAAAAGACTTTCTAGGTCATTTACGTCATAAAATGGTCATAATTTTACTTCTCTGCATTATAGGGGTGTTGTGAAGATAACTATGTTAAAGACTGTGTTGCACTCAGATACTCTGGTAACGGAGGCCATGTAAGTATTTAGGAAGATCATTGTCCGGAATTGGTTATTCTCCTAGTACAGACTGTAGGTAAGATTGTATGTTCCTGGAGGCAGGGACCACCTTTTTTCTCCATATTTCTTACAAGGCCAGGCACAGTGATGGCTTTTAAATAATATTTTTAAGCCAGAAAGTCACACAAAATTTATCTCAGCAATCAAGATTAGGAAGCATTATAATCTATTATGTATTAATTTTTTACTCACCCCCAAAAGACCATGCTTCTTTGTATCATTCCTTACCTGAGTACAATGTGGGATAAATCTATAGACAAGAAGTCTTTCATTGTTAAACAAAGACTATATTTGAGTAGGAGCTTGCAATGGCTCTGGTGCATTTGAGTCAAACTGTTGCCATTTAATAGAGACAGAACTGCATCCTGGAGAATATATTCTGGATGTTTGGCTTTCTATCTGTGTACAGAGATGTTAATGAGTTAAATATGTTACTCTAATACAGGGGTGGCAAACAACACAGTGATGGTTCACCAGGGTTAGCCCCTGGTAGGTCTCTGCCACTGTATTTATCTCCATGGCCAAAGATAAGGGTGATCGGTGATCCATGGCCAATAGGAGCTGCGCTCCTGGTCAATGGGGGTGGAGGGAAGCAGCGCAGACTGGGACACTGTTCCCCCTCTCCCATTGGCTGGGAATGTTGACCTACAGCCAACGGCAGCTGTGATTGCCTGTAACTGTGGCTCTGAAGGTAAATATAGTGGTGGTGGCTCACTAGTGGCTAACCCTTGTGTACTAGATCCAGCCCACGAACTGTATTTGCCCACCCATGTTCTAATAGGGAAAATATCACAAGAAGTGGTGTTCTTGTTTCTGCACTTTCCTGAGTCATAGTAGCTAGGCTGACAGACATTTTTCTGTTGGCCTAGCTATGTCTACACCAGGGATTTAGGATGGCATAGCTGCAGTGCTCAGGGGCATGGATTCTTCATATGCCTGCATGCTGAAGCTATGTCAACCTAATTTTTAAATGTAGACCAAATACTAATCAAGAAGAATACAACAGAATCTGACATTAAAAGCAGAGAAATAAAATAAAATTAATCATTTTTTTCTCTTTATCTTATTCTGTCAATGTTGTAAACAAGGAACAAAACTGAAACTTGGCTCTCATTCCCACCAAATACCATCTCTTCTTCCCTTAAAATGTAAATTATGACAAAAACAAGAAGACTCAGTGGTGAAAACTGACAAGTTTCTGCCTGAAAGAGAACACCGCTGCAGTTTTCCACCAGAGGTCACCCAAGGAGTAGCAGCCAACATTGCCTCATCATCATAAACAGGGCTCGACAAACAATGTCATCTACTCACCTGTGGTGAATAGATTACACCCCGGAAGAGCCAGCGCAGAGTGATCCGCGCATGCACAGAGTAGAGTACACCCCGGAAGAGCCAGCGCAGAGTGATCCGCGCGTGCACAGAGCGCAGAACTGAGCAGCTGGCGAGCGGGGCTCGCCGCCGCTTGGCGAGCCCTGATCATAAACTACTGAGATAGTTTCAGCAAGTTCCTAAAGGGAGAATGTCATCTGGTGTACCTACCCTGCCCCAGGCCCAAAAAAGTTAACTGTGCTTTGCTGGCTGAGGAAGTCCCACCCCCTCAAATCTCTGCAGGGCATGCTCAGCCTGGAGGCAGAGTATAAAAGGAAGTACCCCGCCAACTCAGGCCAGGCAGGTTGCTGAAGCAGGAGGACACAGACTGCAGGCTGTGTTCAGGGAGTTCCTACAGGCCCCGACTACAGAGCCACAGCATGCAAAGCTACAGACTCCACGCTGCCTGATGCGTCCTGAGTAGAGACCGCACTGGCAGGAGCTATGCCCTTTGAGAAACCCATGGGAACTGTGGAGCACTGCTGAGGGAGAAAGAATAGGGAGCAGCCCAGTGGATTTAGACGTTTCTCCAATGAGTAAACCAGGGAACCATTCAGTGTGTTTTGGGAGGATCCCTGCTGACTCAGTGGTGAGCACTTCCCCCACCACCAGGGACTCAGGGAGGCCCCCAGTCAGCCTCTCCTGGGCACCACAGACCCCTAGATAGTACTCCATTTCCCCCAACAAATCAATAGGCCACACGGTACCCCAGAAGTGGGTGCTTTTATTCACTCTGATTATTAGGCAATCCTGCCCTGAATGAAAGGGCTGTTTTATTGACTCCAGACACTAGATCATACTGCCATGTTTTATAGACAAGGTCATAAACACAAGATCCAACTGGCTGCTATACCGTAATTCCTCATTTAACACATGCCAACATAACACGTTTTCACGAGAGCATGATTTTTTTTTTTTAGGGAATGTTTTTTGAATTACACGACCATCCCCGGAACAACACGATTTCCCCAGCCGGCCCATTGCCGGCGGCTGTGCAGGCTTCCCCCGCCTCCTTGCAAAGTGACGGAGGGTTCGCCACTCGCCACGCCATTCCCCGGCATCCTCCCCTCACCGGATGCAGTGCGGGTCCCAGCAGACCTGTCACAGGGGCATACTCCCAACCCAATCTCCCTCCCCTCTCCTCCTCTTCCCTTCTCCAGAGCCAAACACCTCCCCTCCTTGCTGTAACCCAGTCCCGTTTCTCCTCCAACCTTATGTCCTGATCCCAACAGACACCACCACTTGAAACGCAACCCCCACCTTCTCCATTATTTTCAATGGGAAAATTGACCCCGCATAACACGTTTTCACTTAACACGATCGTTTTCTGAAACATATCTATAATGTTAAATGAGGAATTACTCTACTGTCTTTTTCCCATTCTTCTCACCATATGTGACCCAGCACATAGGACCGAGTGTACATAACCTACAATAGAGAAGTACCACTTTTTATCCAGGTGAACTTGTATTTTTCAAATGAGAAGAGGAAGAAAGATGAGAAGATGTTTCAACAACCTGTGTGTGAGGCCCTTGATCTGAAATCAGTGTGTTATCTAAAAGTTAAAGGGAATTGCTTTTCAGGTGGAGCCCAACATTTCTCAGAAGGCGGAACTGATCTTTGAGACACAAAGACCTCATTCCCCACTAAAAAGCAGCTCTCCTTTAGTTAAAACACCAAGGATCCTTCTGTTTGAAATAGCAAGGTCCCACAAGCCCAAGAAGATGCTACTCCCAAATTAAAACATTGAGGGTCTCAAAGCATTCCACCCAAATCAGATGCTAATAGTGTACAATTCAAGAAAAATATATCTAGGATTGATAACACTTACCTTTTTTAGCCAGTTATACTTTGATTTTGGATCAAAATATTCATATGCTCCAGCACCATATTGAGACAAAGTTCTCAGGATGTGATGATTTGCTGTGGAACTAACCACATTTTTAAAAGATTTTTTGGTTTTTAAGTAAAAACTGATAATATGAAATTGATTCCAAATATTTTAATTTTTTAAATAGTGCAGCAAGTTTTCCAATATCTCTAAATTCCCCTCCTTCATTCACACCTACATTAAACAAAGCTCAAAACTGACAAGATGCAACAGAGCCTCCATCTTGCCAAAGGCTCCATCAACTGTTCTAATGATATCAAGAGTAAATGCCAACAAGAGCAACAAGATTTCCCATGCTCATCCCCAGTGCACAGGTTTAAAGCCCATGTCTTAGCTCTGAAAATTAAGCATTCTTTTAGCACAGATCACACATATGCACACAAAAACCAACTCATTGATTTCCCACAGGAAATAGTGAAGTGAGGGATGAAGTACATGTTCACAGGGTTTTAAGGAAAATGCATTCTTGAGTTTCTGCATAAGAGACATGAGATCTTCGATGCAAGGATTTTCAAAGGGGCTTACGTGAGATAGATGCCTTACTTCCATTGAAAGCTACTGGTATTTCGTTTCAGATTGTCGAGCAATTCTATCCGGAAATGGGTTTTGCAACATATTAGTAAGAACATATTAGTTAATATCTTTTAATACATTATTACATCCTAATCTAGTCAAAGCCTAATTAGAACCTATTAAGTGCTTATTTTAGTAAGCACAATAACTTCTTTTAAAATCTTTATTAAAAAAAAA